TATTTGAGGTATCTTTTCTAGTTAGCAACCGAATAACCCTTTCGCAAAGGCATTATCTTGGTAACTCAGACATGTGTTGTTGCTAAGGGTGGTTACATACATAACTGAAAATATTTTTTTATTAAAATCGCATAAATTAGTATCGTTTTGCGAAGAATAAAAACTCGAAGTCGACTCCATAATTTATTATCACCCTCAGATGATAGAACGGTGAAACCATCAATCAGTACATGTTTTGAAAGTATATAAGTTCATCATCAGCTAATTATTTAAAATTTTTCAATAAAAGAACAACATAACAATAGTTAATACAATGAAGTATAAAATACTTACAAGAAGAAGAAAATATTTTATAACGGAGAAAAAAAATTTTCACATGTTACTAATGAACAAATGGTCACAATTAAATGTTAATAATAATGAAAAAATATTTTTTCAAAGTAGTAAAAACGACGGAAGTTGAAGATGAAACTATGGGAGGCTTAAAGCCTTTATACCCACTCATTAACATCAAAATCATAAAACGGTACATGAAAACAAATCCGGACTGAATTGAATGAGAATGGAGAATCAACTGTCAAAAATATATAAAGAGATGAAATCGAGATGACATGGAACAATGACAAGAGATTTGCAAACACAGAACACAACAGAAGGACCACCACATACATACCGTCTCGTGTTCTGAGCCAACAGATCCCATACCATCTACTTATCTGTTTGCTCAGATCCCGTACCACCTACTCATCTGTTAACATGTGACAATTTTCTTTTTTCCATTATAAAATATTTACTTCTCCATGTATTTTATACTTCATTGTATTAACTATTGTTATATTATACTTCTTTTATTGAAGAATTTCAAATCATTAATTGATGATAATCCTATATAGGTTCGAAACAGGTAATGATTGATGGTTTTACCATTCTAACATCTGAGGGTGATAATAAATTATAGAAACGACTTCGAGTTTTTATTCTTCGCAAATCTACTGCACTCCGCTTTGAGATATAAGGGGCTTCTACCACAGGTTAGTATCGTTTTGTTGATGTTTTTTAAAGAATTCTTACTTTTTATGTTTTACAGCGAGTTATGTTCTGTTTCTCTACGCTTTCCGGAAATGCTTTTATTAACTGGTAGTGACACTCATTTTATTTGGAGATATTTTAAAATATTGTGCGTTGCAAAACTTTTGTATCAACGTGTATTTTACTAAAGATAAAACAAGTGATATCAAGTGAACTTCATTCTTTGCGAAAAGTCATTTGACGGCCTCTGAGAGACTACATTCACATTCCAAGGAGTGTTTACACACCTGTATGAAACGTGATTTTATGCGGGTCCACTGTCAAGCATTCGACTGCTTCAGATTTCCTACAGCTATTTTTTATAAATGTCATGTTTATATAATTTGTAAATTGTGTTTTTTCGCTGCTAATCAAACTCAATGCCGACAAAAGCAACTGCATAAGGGGTGTGGAAAGTAATCAACAGGATAATAGTTGCGATAGTTTTTCATAACACCTTTCAGTGGAATATTTCGTGAACAGAAAAATAATTTCAAAATCCAGAATCTTAGGACCGTCAGATTAAGTCACTTCATCAAAATCAATATTTTGAAAATGAATATTCTGAAATGTAAAAGTATACTTGCTAGTGTGAAAGTTGGTTCACAGATATAGTGGACTGACTGTTCAATAAATATAGTTTAAAAAACTAAAAAACACGCTTTTAAAGAACATCGAACTGAAAAGTGAAAAATATGTTTTTAAAATAAGTTTGAAACAATAACGAATGGAAAATACCAGTATTATTGTGAAAAAAGCGACAGGCGCTTGATATACAAAAAATATGACACAAAGCGCTTACGCTTTTTTCACAAAAATACTAGTATTTTTCATTCGTTATTGTTTTAAGCTTTCAGTTCGATGTTCTTTAAAAGCGTGTCTTTCAGTTTTTTAAACTATCATCAAATCATCATCATCAAATCAGAAAAAAAAAATTTTTTACTTTCTCGTGTACCTAACACAAATATTGAATACTACCTTCCCCATTTTTTTAAAATCAGTCTGTTTATTGAAATCAGTTTTGCGTGAGTGTGTCGTAGTCTCCCACTCCATATGAATTATTTACATTATCTGAAATAATATACTGGTATGAAACTGGTGCTATAAATTATTGAATGAAAAAATTCAATGTCACGTCCACTACCACAAGAGTTGGCATAAAGGAAATTATAATATTCTTATCGTATTGATACATTGTTTTAGTCAAGATTATACAAAGCACGTAGAAGATTCCCGCTTGAAAATTATTATTCTGCGAGCAATACATTTGAATAAATCGAAATGCATTTTTGTTGATATATTACATCCCGTACCATTTTGGTATCTTCGTGCATATGAAGTGGAATCAGTTTTTTACATCAGTGACTTTTTTTTTACAGCCAATTATTATATTTTCATCAATATTACATACAGGGTGCCCCATTATTGTGAGGAAGCACAGTATCTCGCCTATGATGAGTATGATAAAATGTTTCAGATAAAAGTTATATGGTTCACTTTGTTGCTTATTTTGCATTTTTTTAAATGGAACTCCTTGTGAATTTTTTCACTGTTGAACAAAATGTTTCACATGAGGAGGTATTTAATAATAATAATTAATGTCTTCATTACTACAACCACACAAAAAATCACAGTGTTAAGTTCTAACTACATATAAAAGGTTATAGTAAAAGGCGAAGTTCAATTTTCCCAGCTATGCAAATAACTGCTAAATTGTTTCTTTTTTTCGAAAATTTTGCGGCGTTGTCAAGTTATTGCTGAAAGTAAAAAATCTTCGGAAAAACAGACCACCACAAATACTATCATAAAAAATTTATGGATAAAATTTAAGCAGAACTACTCGAGACAGACAACAACAAAAGTGAGTTGAAATGTTGGTTTGGACTGGAAGTTACATTTCTCAAACAGAAGATTTTATACAGCGGCTTTATGGAGGAACGTTTTGCGGATGAGGTAAATCAGTGTGTTTGCGCGTTTGCATGTGGATATTAAATGTTCGAACCAAGTTAAGTCAGTATTAATAGTCACTCGCAAGTCTGCATGTGAGGACACTGTACGTAACGATTGACCGCTTATTGTGTACGTATGGAGTGGATTGTTCTTTCCTAGATGAAGCATGAAGTACGACGCATTTGTAGAAGCCAATCCTCGTACCACTGACTAATCGAGTTGAGGTCTATTCGAAGGGAATGATGTTCGACTAAGGCATTATACAGTTTAGTATCATCGGCATAAAACGACTTGCTGGACTTTATGTGAAGAGCAAGATCACTTGCATAAACAACGAAGAGGAGCGGGCCAAAAACAGATCTCTGAGGAACTCCATTTGTGACTTGTCTGTGCAAAGAAAAAGAGTGACCCACTTTGAAAGTTCTATCTGTCATGTAATTTTCAATCCATAGGTTTAGTTGGCCTCGAATACCGTGTGTGTCAAGTTTGTGCATTAGCCTCCTCACTGGGACCGTGTCAAAAGCCTTGGCAAAGTCAAGATAAATGATATCTGTCGATATTTTCCTATCGTAAGCTGTCGTCCAATCGTTCATGCACTGTAGTAGATTGCTGGTGGTTGATCTACCTTTGATGAAACCATGTTGTTCTGGTGGTATGAATGCGTTTTTTGTTAAAAATTCTGACATATCTTCTACGATGATGGATTCCATTTCTTTGGAAAGTACGGATGAAAGACTAATGGGCCTGTAGTTAATTGGATTGAATTTATTGCCTTTTTTAAAAATAGCGGTGACAGATGCCTTCTTCCAAGCCCGTGGGATGCGAGATTTTGCGAAAGAGACTGACATGATTGTTGACAACGGAGAGCAGAGAGTTTCGGCAAACTTTTTGAGAAAAAAGGGGCTTATTCCATCCCAACCAGGAGATGAATTCGATTTAATATTCAATAAATGATTTTTAATTTTTTCCGAAGTAGTCACATTAGTCAGATTATCACGTAGTCGTTCTGCTATAATTTTTGGTAATTGGTCATCTCGAGGCTCAACCGTGAAGGAGCTTGTGAAAGAATCGGCCAAAATCTCTGTTGATTCGCTGTCTGTAGACCACAAGAAACCGTCAGGTTTTCGAAGGAGCGGAATGTTTACTTTGGTGTTCAGGTTAGATCGTATGAACTTGTACAATTTTTTATTGTTTTCAGAGTCTGCAATAGATTCTTCGAACTCACGACGTGAAGATCGTATTGTTGATACCAAGTGTTTTGAGAAATTTCGATGAGCTTGGTAATCTTCTGTGGCTTTTGATTTTTTGTATATTTTTTGTGATGTACTGAAATTTAACATGATTGCAATGTCAAACTTGAAACTGAAAATCAGTTGGGAAAAGTTTTGAAAATTCGTCGGTGGACAAATTCATTTCAAATGCTTATTATGAAGCGATAGGTACAAAATTGTATGACATCAATTTTTTGTTTTATGCCAAAATTTATCGATCATTGAATGTCAAATTCAGATCCCACTGGGTGTTCCATTTGAAAGCATCAAGTTTTTGATATTCGAAGTTTGTCAAGTTAGTGCCTCTGTATAAAATCTCCTGTTTAAGAAATGTAATTTTCAGGCCATATCGACATTTCATCCCGAACTTGGTAGTGCTTGTATTCCTGCTTGAATTCTATTCATAAATTTTTTATAATGGCATTCATGGTGGTGTTATTTTTTTTCTTTCAGCAATAACTTTCTTTCAGCGGTGAAAAAATTTACAAAGAGATCCTCTACTGTCCACTCATTTCATTCAAGTTGTAAACAAGGTTTTTTATGAAAAAGAAGATGTTTGAACAGACAGATATTATGAAATAAATTCCATCATAATGAGCATTTTTTACATTTTACTATTAGGAAATAAATTCCTGAAACTTAAAAACGTGACTGTATGGATAAATTCGACATCACCAGTGATAAAAATTAACGTTGTATTTTTGTTTTCAGGGCGTAACAACAGAAGTGAGTTCGGAAGGCAATGTAACGAAACCGACGCTTACAGGAAATCCTCAACTCGACTATATTTATGATCCAAATTTACCCAAAGAATTAAATGGATACAACTTATCAGATTATCCCTTTTATGAAAGGGTTCCAGAAGACATAGACTTCAAGTGTGACGGCCTCCACGATGGATTTTATGCCAGTGTGAAACACAAATGCCAGGTATTTATCTAATGTAACAGTGATTTATTATTATTATAAACTTTTCAATCTCACATCGATGAAAACATGTAATCTTACAATAGTTATTGGATAGTTTTTGTGAAAAAAAAGAGTTTTGGCTTCATAATCGCTCATCATTATACAAAAAAATATGGGAAACTACAGAAAAAAGTAATTAACTTTTATGAAAATTGTTTACAACGATGAGTAGTTCCTGTATTAAAGTTTCTTTGAGATATATTGCGGTAGAAAAAGTCCAACCCAAAACAAACACTTTCAATGATATGAACATTGAACTAAACAGGAATCACTTCTTCTTATTAGGTTTATAATTCAAGTATTCGTAATGGAATTGGAACAGATATCATTCACAGGAGCGCTACACAACGTAACACATAAAGAGCATTGATATAAACGTTCCTCTTACTTGGAAAACAAGCCCGGTGATCTTTGAAGTGTCGTACAAAGACATTGGTTTTCAGCATTTCATTACCACAATTTTGGATAACTTCACAAGACGAAGCAATCACTAAGACTTTTCAGACTTTTTTCTGACCGGAGGAGACAGGTTTGCTCTTATTACGATGTTTACAGTTCGTAAAACATTCATATGGTTTGTTGATTTACTTTAGGCTGTAATGAGATTATCGTTTAAATTGAAAAGGAAATAGTTTTAGCAAACATGATGAATTTTTTTGTCTCCACAATTAATTTTTTTACTAAGTGTCATTGCCACAACAGCAAAATTATGTTTTCGGGTGACAAAAAGTCGTAATTCAATTAAAGAATTCAGTGCTTCGTTTTGTAGAGTTATCCAAAAAAGGTGTTGATGAGGATGAAGACAAATATCTTTACCTGAATCCGTAAAGTCTAACAGAAGTTCGATCGTTTTCCAGGTACGTGAAATTTTTATATCAATACTTCGTTAGTTAGTAGGTATTCCAGTGAATTATATCTGTTTCAATTCCATTACGAATATTTGGAGCACAACCGTGTACTTCATAGTCTATATCTTTGGAAGTACTTGTTTCGAATGAACTTTTCCTTACAATTTGGATCCAGACGGAACTTCTGTACATATCTTTGTAANAAAACACAAGTTAACATGCTTTCACTACCCCGCAGAAGGGTTACACATCCTGTGGGGTCCAATTACAAATGCACCGATAAAGACAGTTACCTGGAATCTCGCTTATATATAGTACTTCTACCACGCCACTGAAGATGACTGCCGCAGTTGCAGCTGAAACGGTTGGAGATTATAATCAAAGAAGATTACGGCGAAAACCGGCAAAACCAAAACATTGACGCCAGCCATGTTAGCTTAAATTCCTATATTAGGACACTTATTGACACCACATCGGCAGTATTGTTCCAACGCCCTCCAATACAGGAAATTTCTTTCCAAATGGCTACCCAAGTCGAAATTTGCTCCACATAAGAGAACTGTTACCTACACATGTGATGGTCACCACAGAAAAATAGTTCTGTCCAGAGATGTTTCAAAATTAATTCATAACGCATCTAATCAGGCGTCTTAACTGACCGAAGCTGCATTCAAATGTGGTGTATTGGTGGATATCAACGACAAGAACTCATGAATAAACACAAGTAAAAAAAAGAAAATCAGTTAACGTACGACAGACAGAAACTAATAATGAGGGCGGTTTCATAGTTGTTACTTTCTACTGTCACATGATTGCTGAAAACAAAACGTTTATTGACTTGTAGGGACCTATTCTCTCTTCACAACAAGTATAAGGGGATGGAAGAATGTAACATACACTGGTTTTTGAGTGGTATAAACGTTTCATTGAAGAACGTAAAGACATCGATGATGATCCAAGAAGTCTTTCATCTGTAGAATTCTAAATGTAAATTGGATTCCTACAAAATGAGCCAAGCATGAAATCCTTGTATTGGAACATCCACCTTACTAACCAGATTTGATGTGGTGAGAAGGGAAGCATTGAAAAGAGCTAGATTTGATACAGTGAAAGCTGTGAAGTGGAGTATATTGATGAAGATAGCATGAAAGTTTCAAAAGATATAAATAAAAGGAGTTTCACCAAAAACCATGTTATTTTCTAGCCAAACTTGGTAACTTATCCTATGTTGAGAGACGTAACTCTTGGCAAACATTTTCTGCGTAATTAAAATGCATCTTATGCATCAGATGATTCACATGACATTTTGAAAATGCCTGAGAATAATTGGCACGTAAATATGAAACTTTTGATCAGAATCATAATAATTTGAAAAATACTTGTTGTTTTGCAATCGGTTAACATTTACCAAGCGTGTATTCTAATCTATTAAGTTTGATTAGATCTTCGCTGCATCATAGTAATGTTAAAAACTAACTTTGTTTAACTATTCACGATTTTCTGTCTAATTCAGGAAGTGATTTTTTGTTTGTGTCAAGCTATATCGAATCATGATTATAGACATTACCTACCATTATGAAACAGTCTTGAGCGGAAATACAGATATGGTTGTGACCTACTTGAAAAAGAACGGAATCGAAAACTATCGAGAATGCTAATCAATATTTCAACTGATTTCAGTGTGACCAAGGTTATATTTCTCGATATATATTACGTAAAATACCGTAGATCACTTTATTATATCATGTTCAACGGAAAGTCTGTGAAATGTTCTGTATACAGGGTGTCAATTTGAAAACTTCCCAACTTTAATATCTTCCTTCCAGTAAACAATATTAGAAATCAAAAAACAGGTCAATTTTATTGCCAAGGGGGACACTTTGTAGCTCTCATGGTTCAACCCCCTAGGAGAGGTAGATGTTACCCTTGAAATTTCCAATGGGAAGGGGGATCAAGTGGCGAATCATCTTGATTGGCGTTCAATTCTGCTTCCAATGATATCCTGTAAAATATATCAAGACTGGAGCAATCGATAGGTTGGCCTACTACTTATCCAGACATGAGTCCTATAGAGCATATTTGAGGTATCTTTTCTAGTTAGCAACCGAAGAACCCTTTTGAATCTTTCAAGAGTCGGTATTAGTTGCTAGGACAGAATGAAGTATATCTTCCAAAGCATTATCTTGGTAACTCAGACATGTGTTGTTGCTAAGGGTGGTAACATACATAACTGAAAATGTTTTTTTTAATTAAAATCGCATAAATTAGTATCGTTTTGCGACGAATAAAAACTCGAAGTCGTCTCCACAATTTATCATCACCCTCAGATGATAGAACGGTGAAACTATCAATTAGTACATGTTTTGAACGTATATAGGTTCATCATCAGCTAATTATTTAAAATTCTTCAATAAAAAAACAGTATTACAATAGTTAATACAATGGAGTATAAAATACTTACAAGAAGANGAAATTTTTATATCAATACTTCGTTAGTTAGTAGGTATTCCAGTGAATTATATCTGTTTCAATTCCATTACGAATATTTGGAGCACAACCGTGTACTTCATAGTCTATATCTTTGGAAGTACTTGTTTCGAATGAACTTTTCCTTACAATTTGGATAAAGACGGAACTTCTGTACATATCTTTGTAAATGAGAGGTATGTTGAACATATAAAGTAAATTTTCATTTTTCTCAAAAAATATTCATTTATTCATCAATTTCTATTTTGTCTCCTTCAAAGTAGGCCGCGTTATGTCGATGAATATAGTCCGAGACCGCATATGCTGGACATGCTGATAGCAAGTGCATTAGGGTCTCGGGCGCCTCGCGGCAGGCCCTGCACCTTGTGTCAGGAACCTCTATACCCATCACGCGACTGCGGTAGACTAAGGTGTTGAAGACACCATCCTGGCAAGCCATGATGAACCCCTCAGTTTCCGACTTCAGCCCACTCGACCTGAGAAAAGCGAACGTCAGGNTACGCTTATATTGTATCGGAGTCTGCGTTACACATCTATCGATGAGCAGGTTCTCTTTACATCCAGCGACTCCTCTCTTCGACCCTCTCTGCTTCATATATCCATTCGAACACTCGGTCAACTGCGGTGAGTATTCGTGTGTATAAGATGCTTGTAAACAACTTATAACACGAATTCAAGCATGTTATCGGTCTGTAATTCGGGATAAGAACGGTCCGCCCCTCGAGAAACCAATCCGGAATCGGCTGCTCTCCATTCAGCCATGAGTTGAAAACGTTGGCCAGATGGCGGTGGGTACTTGGTAGTTTTTTCCACCAATAAGTGTTCAGCCCATCTGGTCCTGGAGCAGCAAAGTTCTTGGAACCAACAAGGGACCTTCGAACGTCATCCGGGGTTATCGGGTTGCGCAGTTCATTGGGCTCAGGCTGTCGAAGCTCTCTGTTGAAAGCTTCGAACCGCGCTAGGGCTGGAGCAACATTAATTATTATTATTATTTACATCTTCTCGCGCTTCTGTGAAAAGCTCCTACCACTTTTCTGGCTCAGAGTACAATCATCGTATGAGCACCTAATTCCATTTTTAACACAAAAGTTGAACATTCACCTTATTTTTTTAACAGACTCCGTAATTTATATTCAAGTTCATTATTTTTTCTTTCTTCGTTATTTTCCAACATCTTCTGTATAATGATGCAGAGGTCGAATGCGAAAACGCTTTTTTCCTAAAAACTATTTGAAAAACTTCTTTAAAATAAATATGTATCACACCCACTTGCTTCTGGGTTGTCAGAATATAACTAGTAACTTTTCAAATCAGTAAACGCGTTTAAATTTCAGAGTATTTCATTATAATTTTCGTATACTGAGTGGATAATACCGTAAGGCCCAATAACAAGGGAAAAAACTTTTTGAAAAAATTCAAAAACACTTCAAATATGTAAGTTTTCACCGGACTACCAGCACAAACCCTTCAGTGCTCTAAGCAGGGGTGTCATCCCCAACTGTTTAAATGAGAATGAGAAACGAGCTTACGGTTCTTTATCCACAGCCGCTTTGCTTTTGAAAATCAATCAACTAGTTTAGAAGATATGGCCAACAATACGTGTTCTGAAAAATGTTCAGTTATACT